ACTGACTTCATAGTAAGAATTGTTTCTACTACTCTAAGCTTTGTACTTGGGTGTTCTTTGTTTAAAATGATTCCATCTGTCTATATGCAAAGTAAATAATTGTCTCGTCATATGGTGTACGGTGGTATAACTTGAGCGGTAGATAAATTTTAAATGTTTTTGTCGTGTTTTTTTTTTCCCCTCAAATGTTCAAAACAGTTTATTCCTTCACATTTTGACTCTATTAATGATGTAACTATATTGCTGATTTATTTTAAATTGTTACAACTTGTATGGTTTTATTTTTATTTCCATGCAAGAAAAAAACGGAACTCTCCTCTTCTGTCCTTCGTGTAAACTATGTGCTACTGCACTACAACCTTTCAAAAATATGCAACCAAAAAATTGGACATTTCTGTGATATGATTATATTTTATAGCCACTGCAATTTTATTCATTCATCTGTACTACTCAGTCATTTTACTGCATGTAATTAATTTGGAAATCATGTTTAGGATAGAGAATTTTTAAATTCTGGGAAAAAAAGAATTCGTTGAACAGCAAAAATCCCGCCGAGAGGTAATGTGTTTCCTTCCTGAGATGTAAAATCTTGACAGTTTTCTAAACTACCTCAGTCATTGTGGACACAATAATATAACCCTTTAATGACTTTTCTAAGAAGAGAACCTTTTGAAATTAATTCGCTATGTAGAAAGATAAGCAGAAGCTGGGAACAGTTTTTTTTCTATCTTCTTCTTCCTAGTCCTCTCAAACTTCCTCATACATGCTGGACTATTTTCCCTCCGTAAATCAAGGACAGCGGGGAGGACGAGGTGTGATTGCTTTCACACCCAGGAAGTAATCACAGCCGACCTGCCAGAGCTCTGATTAAGACTGATAAATATCGACAAGCAGTTAATGAGATGTCAGGCAGGAACAAGGCCCTTCCCTTCATGCCTACCGACGACGCCGGTGGAGAGTTGGAAAAATGACCTCAACTTGGCAATGTCATGACCGTCTTTCATGAGAGCAAAGCACAAGTTATTAATTATCTTTGAGCAAAATTATCAATAGTGAGGCTGTTTGATTCCCATCGAAGAAATGATGGCCAACAGATGCTTGCTGGGATATTATTCTTCATAATTACGATAGATAAAGTGAGAATGATTATTGTTCATTTTCATTCTGTTCCATAATTCTTTTCCCTCAACGAGTTCAGACACAAACAGAGTCAACAGAACGCGACTGGAGGCAGCTGACTAAAGATTATTAAAAATGTACGCCTTCAATTATTTTTTGCTTATATCAATTAAAGTTCATTATCAAGTCTTGAACAATACAATGCGATTATAAATAGGGACACATAAACATAATTTATGTCTATCATGACCACGATGCCACAGCGTTGTTTTTCTCTGTAAAGTGAACATGCCTGAAGCCTCTCACAAACACCGCTGTGCATAGAACTCAAATAAAGACATGCAAACACAAGCCTGTTAGGTGTCTGCTGAACTATAATGAGGTTATGAGCTCAGTAGGGTGCTGGAAGAAAGTCAATTCATTATCTCACCGAGCATTATGTATATACGGCCGTACGTGTGAGCTCCATTCCCCTCAGCAGCGGGGTAACGTCACAGCAGTTTCATGCTAGGCCATGTGATTTATGCATCATGGAGCTGGCATCGTGCTCTGTTTAAAGTAAATGAGGGCTCTATCTTGATAACAGCAGCCACGAGGACGTCTTATCTTTCCACAGCGGCGTTTTGATGTTCTTGTTCAATGGCCCCGCTTGTACCTGAAGGCCGCCGTACCTCTCACATGTGATAGATTCCCACCAACTGTCCAGCTTTGACCGTGAACTCCAGGTCACCTCATGGCTTTTTCCCGGGCGCAGTCCTGTTGAATATTGTTTCTCTGGCAGACATGCTCAGCCCATCAGACAGAAGTACTGTGCAGCTGCACCCAAACAGCCAACAATAGGATGCTTGTTCTGGGACAGAAAAGGTCGGGTCCCCGTTTTTTGAAGAAGGGGGTGATGTGAACGGGTGGTCAAATATCTCAGGGGTTTTGCAACAGGATAATCCTTCGGGGTTTTTCTGTAAATGCCAGTGATCTTCTGCAGAATATGAATGTATTCAAAAAAGTAAAGACTCATCTTTGTGTTTTAAAATGACTTTTTTACTAAGCATTTTAAGTATAACTAAGGCATAATGAGTATGGTGCCTAGTATGACTACTCTAACAACCCTTTATGTCAGATTTAAGTTTGTTGGAAAAGTTCTTAACAAGAGACAGAAAAGTCAGCACACTACATGTCATTCAAGTTTCCTTTATCTGGGTAAGAGCAGCGTACAATTCAACAACAGAAGCCTTTCAGCACTAGGCCTTCACCAGCGTTGTTAACAAAACACATACTTTTATTTTGACTGCTTTTGAGGGCCATGACAAATTGAGATTATTCTGAAAAAAAAAAAGTTAAATCAAAATCTAGGTTGTAAAAATCGATTCATGTTAGAAAATGTTGGGGGTGTATAAAAAACCAGGGAGAAAATGTGGACCGAGCTCCTCTAATTACTCTAATGAAAGATAAGTTTTGATTCGTATTGCCATTACTGACAGCAAAATAATACACAACACCAACATTTGTGATGACATATTGACACAGACGACCAGAGGAAATGCAATTTACGGAAAGTTAATGACACATTTTAAAAGGCTTTAGGCATTTCTCATCATGCATCTTGTAATTTTTTTTACTTTTCTTCCATTGAACCTTTAAATAAGAGAAACAAATGCACTCACACACTAACACACACACACACACACACACACACACACACACACACATGTCTTTGTTGAAAGTATTTGCCAATTAGCAAGTAGTGGGGCTGGAGTGGTAATTAGGCTTTCCAGTCGGCTGGTGTCTGTGTACAGCTTAGCTGAGACAGGTCTGAAGCTAAACGCCTCACTATTTGTCCAGCAATTATGTCAGGTCCCCATGTCACAGTACAGACGTGACCAATTAGCTGTGCCAAACCAAAGTGAAAGAGAGGGATTACGGCAGAGGAGATGGGAGAGGATGAAACAGTAGACAGAGGACGGGCTGTGTGGGGACGTTGGCGGGGAGGTTGTGAGAGTGAAGAATAGTCTGCAGGGAATAAAGAGGGAATAAAGGGAGATACAGTTTGGGTTTTGGGGATGAGGCAAAGGAGGGTGTAAGGGAGAGGATTTATTTTTCTTTATTTTGCTGTGTGATCATGTTCTGCATTGATCCTCCTTCTGACAGACATGTGACTTAGACATGCTAATACATATAAATGTATGCTAATGCCCCTCACTGACCGAGTAGGGATGAAGAAATTGATCTTAATTGACGTCTCAATAATTCTCCCTGGCTGTTGTACGACATATTTTGATGAAACAGGCCGGCGTACAATCAATATTCTCCAGCTCGGAGTAATGTGACACAGTGTCAACAGCCGTAGGAAAAGTTTGCAGTGCTCTAGTTCATCTTGGCATGCGTCCATATTTACTTCAACCTGACAGATTACACTCCTGTGTTGAGCAGTGAAGGAGCAACAGCTATCGAGGCTTGTCAAAACAACTCAGAAACTATGAAAGTGTACTCAGTTCGTCTCAGGATACACATAGTAACTGAGGCTATTTCACTTCATTACATTAGGATTTGAGGTTTCTGTGATTCAATTATGGAAAAAATAGACAAGATAGAAGAAAACGGTGAATGAATGATCCTGAAATATTGCCGGACCTTTGTTAGGTGTACAGCCGAGTCCATCATTTGGCAGCAACAATGGAGGATAAGAAGCTGTTAAAGTCAGGGAGATTTAAGATTAAATGTATTCCGTCTGCTGCGGCACAAAAAGAACCCAAATAATCCTCAGATGAAACTTCTCAGAGTGCATCTAGGGGGGAGTGTTTCAAAAATATCTGCTCTACCCAGACACCGAGACCACCCGATGCAAGGCTCTGTATTTAATTGGACAGGGAGAGGGAGAAGAGGCGAGCCAGGGGACAAGCAGAGGGGAGGATGAGGTAGAATCTATGATCTGAGCATCCCCCGTTTTTTTTATGTTTTTTTTTCATAGCTGGAAAACAAGACTGTTGGCTCAGTGCCTGCAGAGATGAGTGGAGCTCTGATAAATTAGCACGCTTGAAAGACAATACGGGGAGCTTTTGTGTTGCGTGGTCGTGACACAGCTTTACGGAGGATTGCAAACTTTATTATATTTGATTGTGGCAACATGTCTTCAAAACCTGTGAGGCTGAGAGCGAATTGACCCCTTTTTGATAGTTACTTTCGGGGGAATTATATCTTATTTTGATTGTGCTTTTCTTTTTTTTCTAGCTAAATTTGGCAAACTACCTGAGGATGGTGGTGTTTAACTCCTAGAAACAACTTCAATAATGGAATACAACTAAGCCACTGAAGGAGGTTTAGAAATAGATGAACTCTGGGTACCTTCTCCCAAAGATCGATATCCATTCATCAGGTGCCTGTAGCTATGAAGATGAAAGACAGCATAACAAAAAAAATATATATATTTTTTTCCACAGACACTGTTACTCTAAATGTCCTCGGGCTTTTGAAAGGCAGGGGGAATAATGCAACCTCAACCTGCCTGAAACACAACCATCAAATCAGAGGGCTCTGGATGAAAAATGAACGATTCCTGTTTGCAGGTACACTGAGGACATTAATAGAAACACACAGTTAAATCTGGGAGAGTGGTATGTTTATATGAAGCAGATAGTTATCTGGGCTAAGGACTTGCGACGCCTTTTAGCAAGAAAATGTTTTTTATGGTGATTGCAGAAAAACTGCATGAAGTGCTGGTAATGATTAACAGCACAAGATTGCCATAAAAGATAAACAGAGAAAGAGAAAGTTGTTTGTCTTGGGCTGTTACTGGACTGGACAACATGTGTGCAATTAGGAGCTGGCATTCGTAAACCTTGATTCAAAACACAGAATAAACAAAAAAAAACAGTCATGAGATCGGGTCACATTTCTTAAATAATTTAATTGCAAAAGGGTCTTTTAAAAATATTTCTACAAGAATGCATCATTTTTTTAGTAATTTGTTGTGTATGTCTGCACCATTAAATACATCTTAATGCTTTTCAAAGGGGAATTAACAATTGCATTTCTCATCTTAACCCCGCCCACTTCCCACTTCACTATACATGTACAGTACTCGCTAAAACGTCCTTGCATGGAGAGGAGGGGTTTAAAAAAAAAATGACAAAAAACATGTGTGGAGTGAACTTGTTAGAAGACAGTATAAAAGACAAAAAAAGCATATATTTATTCAAAACAGACAACTGAAAAAAAGTTAGGTTGTGTAAGTTAAGGGGTTTTTTGGGGGAGGGGGGGTGCAGGATGCTGTATATTAGTTGTATGATCTGTGGAGGATCTAAAATTGGGGAAGAAAGGTGGAAAGGAATGTTGGGATGGTTTGAATCTTATTGGCACACATACTGTAGAGGTGACCACATCTGACAAAGCCTGAACTCTGTGGATCAAAGTATTTCTGTATAAAATCGCAATCCTTTTTATTTCGCACACACTTGTGCGCACACACACATACACGCCCACACATACACACAAACGTAACGGTCCATCTTCATTTCAGCAGAAGGATGAACACACAAAACACACAAGAGTGCGTTCCTGTGAATGTCGAAAATTAAACACACCCATGGACGTGTTAAAAATCCACTAAGGAGATAAATGGTTCGCTGTTGATGTGGTGGCAGTTTAATCGTTTTAGAATGTGCAACAGTGTCAGTCGAGCTCATCACTCACGGCTGGTTGACTTTGGTGAACACAAATCCAGACCCCAGTGCGCCATGTGCACCTCATCAATAGTTCATGCAAGCTCCAAAGCACTGCCATTTTTCAAGAGTGGGAATGTCTGCCATCTGATTGTGTTTAGCTCCCCATATGCCCCCCCCCCTTCCCCACCCTTCTTTATTTTTATGCTCATCAACGGTGTCTTTTTTTGGTGTCATATGCAACTTTGTAACAGCGGGACTTATCGACTGATTAAATAATTGAGCTGAGTGCAGGGAAAAGTGAATGTATATTCCTGTGAGAGCGGGTAAAAGTGAGCTTCTGATTGCATTAAATCTGCTCTTTTTAGTCATCTCTAAATGCAAACAGAGTCACTGTTTTCTAATCAAAATGCAGTTTTCTTTGGAGGTAAACAAACTAGTTCTGTAGAGCATGTTAAAAAAAAATGTTTTGTTCATGTAACAGGCACTTTCAACGCTTTCTGAGCATGGTGTTGTTTCGAACATCTGAATTGACACTTTGATGAAAAAAATAAAGAAATATGTGACTTATTTCCTGTATAGTTTGAGATCACAACAGTTAGATTACTACTTGGTTGTGCCCTACAACTGTTGCAGGTTAGTAAGACCTTTATGGAGTGTTCTAGGAGGAGTGATAAAGTCTGTATGTTGAATAAGATGAAATATTACAAAGTGGGGAACACATTGTGGGTTTGCATAATATCCTCCATGACTTTTGAAGGGACTTAAAGAGAGGCTGACTATAAAGTAATATGGGAAGACACAAACACCACACTGTCATTACACACCTAACTTAATCATATTTCACATATTGCATTGATCAGCTCCAACCCAAACAATATGGAGTCTCACTGGAAGCTCACAGCCTCATCTTTTAATCCGCTACCTTCAAACACCCCTCAGAGAGAAGCCTAAAGAGTCTGGTCTCCGTGATGCAGCTGCGATCATTTAGGACGAGGGGGCCTGCAGATTTTGTGTGTCTGTCAGCGTGCCGCGGCTGTTGATCCTGCACTGTACTAATCATGCAGCAGCCCGAGCTGAGACAGGATGATTGCAGGCCAGACAGGAAATGAAGAGAGATAATGATAGGTCAGCACGCCGTATGTCTGCACTCGCTGCATGCGCGTATCCTCCCAATGCCAGATTGGCTGCTGCATTAATCAACCTGACAGAAAAAAAGACCAGACCAATATGTTTCCTCTTCTGACAGGTCTGATTCTCTGATGAGGGAGCCACATCGTATGTGATTGAAATGATTGGCAGGTAGGCTACATCATTCATGGACCTTCCACCTAATGGCTCCTTAACAGTCCTATGTAGGATGGGTTGGGAGGATTCTATTGTTGGATGTGATGGTAAATACTTACAAAAAATGTATGGTAAACCAGGGAGATGCATTTTGGTGGTTAGCAGGAAGTTTAAAGTTGAATGCAATGTACTGGAAGACAATTTGTGACAGCTCAGGGCCTCACAAATGCTATGTTTGTTTAGAATGAGAATGGATTTGGAAGCTTAATAGTCGTTTCAGGTGGCACGCACGCACAGACAATTGGACACACCTACACGTACACTCAAACAGCAATGGACGGAGGGCAAAATGGCAACACGTCAATACCAAAATTTAAACCATGAGTGATGTAAATATCTTCTTCTACACCTCCTAACTTCCTTCCTTTCTCTCGCCTCTTTCTTTGCTTTCTGTTAATTTCACTCTGAATCAAACATTTCACAACAGTACTTCCATTTTTGTCAAAACACCATTTTTTTCTTTTGTTATTTATGATATTTTTGTTACAAAACATGTACAGGCTGTTTAGAACAACAACAAAAATACAATATCCAATTAATATGCAATTTCTTTTTGTTTAATAATTATCAATTTATTGGGCAAATCCTCTTGAGAGCTTCTCTTCCCTCTGATTGTTCCAAGTCCATTTCCCCCATATGGCCTACAGTCCATCTGGGTTTTGGTGGGGTGAGGGGGGGCTGGATGGGGGTTAACAGGTGAGGTACAAATAAATACATTGGGCAGGTTGTCAAAAAATTAAACCAAGAAAATGCATTATTTCTAAATCCAGATAATAGTAAGTAGAAAGTAAGGTGTCCGTCAAGGTGTCTCTGTTTCTGCATGAAGCATATATATATAATTTTATATATATATGTAGGTTCTTCCAAAGTTCATTTTTTGGATTCAATAAAAAAGGTTTAACAGTTGTCCACAGAATATAGCGTAATTGTTTCAGATATATTTGCTCCTTGTCACTGTTCAGTTCATGCGTTAACTCTCCACGGTGGCAAATAGCGGAAGCCGTATTGTACAGTATACTCGTGTGCAACTTGACACCCGCACTTCCAAGCACACCTAATCACACATATACTCACACATGCGCACGCACGCACACACACACGTACAAAAAAAAACACGCGTAAAGGCCAAGTGGTCTTTCTCTAGTGTTGCCACAGTCCTTGTTTCCACTTCATCACAGAAAGTGTCCAGTGGGGGGTGGGGTGGGGGGGTGGGGGCTTCTCAGATATGACCGGCCATGTTCAGACCACAATATCTCCCAAATATGTGTAAGAAAAGCTTAAAAATGAAGGGGGAAAAAAATGCTGTGTGGACAAACAGAAATCAAACTTTTTTTTTTTTTTTTATGTGTAACACACAGTTGATGAGCAGGTGAACCCAAGCTGTGAAACGATCCTTGGTCAGGTCAGGGTGAAGAGGTCTGGTGACCTTTTGAGGACTCTGCAGCACAAAACAAGTGTCCAAAAATGTGGCTGCCCTCTTTTGACCTTTCTGACCTCTGTCACCCTCCTGATGATCATTTTTCCTCCTCCACCGCCTCCCCCTTTCTCCAGCAAGTGCCCTTAAAGATAACACACCTTCAATATGAAGATGGAGAACGACACACGTGTGCACAGTAAGATATCAGGGAAAGAATCGTCCTCTTTTTTCCTGTGGGTCCAAGACACCGTCCTTTTTTTTTTTTTTTTGTTTATCCACTTTTTCACAGCAGGATGTCTATTCTTGACTTTGTCCATCAAAGCTGGGTAGAGAGGTGTAGGGGAGGGACTCTAGCACGAGGATAGAAGTGTGTCACTTCAGTTACAGGGCTAAGGCCAACCTCACTAAAAACACACATGCATGCAAACGTCAACCCACACCAGAGCTGGTGAGGCACGCATGGGATATAAAGGGGGGGTTAACTCCTCTTCTTCTTCTTCTTCTTTCAAAAACACACAAAATCTGATTGGATGGTAAAAGAAACAATGCTGAATTATAAAAAAAAAAAGCAGAGGAAAAATGGAAGTGGTAGTGACATAAAGAAAAATACAAGTCAGAGGCACTGCAAGCCAGTTTCGAAGCGTCTAATTGGCAGAGTTGGGGGTCAGGCAGCTAGGGTTTTCCAATGGCTCTCTCTTGCACTGTTCCTCTCCCCCCCTTTTTTTCCTGTCTGGCTGTCCTTTTTTCAACTGCATCAGTGTGTGTGTCCAGCCGCTCACACCTGGACAGGAAGTGTTTGGTTCATCTGTAGTCTCATGTCCTGAATGCTACCAAGAATCTTCTTCTGATGGCCGGCCAGCGTCACCCCTATCCGCAGCAAGTCCCTGTGGTTGGGAGTAAAAAAAAAAAAAGAGGAAGAAAATGAGAACAGATGGCTCAGTTATCAAACAAAAAAAAAAAAGTAGTTAAACAGGACTTGTCAGTAGAAGCGCACATTTCACTTTTCATTCAAAAGTAAACACACCGACAGGTGGGAAGAGGGACAGAGAAGCAGGCGGGCAATCACCTATAAAATGTCTAACAGTGGGTCAGTCAACAAAATGTGGAGTCTCATCCAGTGAATGTCGCGCTTCACGTAACATACTTCTGTTGCCCGACAGGTGGGCGAGAGAAGGGGAGTCACAGAGCCATCATGCGATAGTTAATGATTTAAGAGGACAATTTGCTACTGTTCAGCGGCTGGCAAACTTCACAGTGTTCACATCAGCCTACCACAAATACTAAATGCTAGATACTAGTATCTAGTACTAGTATGGAGGCCATCTTTCATGCTTTGGAACTTCTCTGTGAAATCAGCTTAAACGTAACACTAGCACAACATTCCTCAATGCTCGAACGCATCCAAGAAAAACATAAAGCAGAGAAAGAGCGTAAATTAGTCTTGTAGCCGAGGGCTAACACAAGCTACAGTGCGATTTTTAGTGTGTATAAAGGACTTTAACCTCAGCGTGAGGGTTCAGTGGGAATTCCCAAACATACGTTACTACATCTTCCGAGAGGCCTGGCAGGAACGCACCTGCTTTGGCCATAATTTCCCAGAATAATCTAATCGTCATGGCCATGTTGGTTTAACACCACAGTAATACAATGTGACCCTCACTTCTCTGCTTCCATGTTTGATTTCCCTAGTTGATAGCTGAAAGAAAAGGACGGCGTCTGGGGCTGTGATTAGCTGACCACTGGGGCTCTGCAAAAGTGTGTGTCCTCTCTGTTTAGTCACACACACACACACAAATACTGGATAATCTAATATTACACACAGACGGCATACACTCTGCTTGTCTCAATGACTTTGTGGCCCAATCTATTGTAGTACAAATGTGTGCACCTCAACACACACACACATGAGTGCATGAAAGCACACACAATTCCCCACTTCTCATCCATCCCCTCTGAAGCTAAATCAGGGTGCATCACGGCAATTTCTCACAAATAAATGATGTTTTTCTGTTTTTTCATATTTCGCTTTCCCCATCAGTGCAGCAATGGAGGATGAAATGATAATAAATGGACACCATTAGAGGAATTACTGGCCATTAAGGGCAACAGAGAGCCACACTACACCACACCTGTCAGCCTGGCCAAATTGAAACAAATTACCACCTCCTCCATCGCCTATTATGCCGCTAATGAAGATAATTTATTTATCATTATAATCCTAATTCATTTATTTGATCATCACTAGCCTCCGATTTCCATGATTTCCATTACATCATATCCTGTTAGTAAACACAGCAGAAGATGGGTGAGTGGTCAAGGTTAACTGGGGAACGTAGGAAAGGAAGCGGATTTAAGTGCTTTCCAACAAATCCCTGCTTTAATAATGTTAAATGGGGGGAGGGTGTGTTGATTTTTAATCTGTTGTGGTCGCTTCTGAAGAAGATGGTTGTTGCAAGTTCCCACCTGATCACTTTTTCAGAAACTTCCTGATTGGTCAATCACAAACCAAATTACAGGAAGAGCAAGTAGGATTTGGGTCTTTCCTGTTTTGTACCATGCCATCATTTCTTGTCATGTCTACTCTCTACATCATTTTTGTTGCAAAACAATCCCACATTTTTAAATTTAAAAATACTGTTATCAATACAATAAAATGTGTACATAGTACTGAGACACTCGAGTGTAAGGAATATTTGTTTACATTTCTGTCATAGTTTTAATCCAAAGCACTTATCCGCCAAATGTATAAAAAAAAAGTAAAAAAGTAAGATATGTGTATTTATCTCCTTTAAGGTTGTCATTTGATATCTGAGCCCAATCACAGTCCCTTTTCCACATCTCAAAAAGTTTAATTTAGCCACATGACGATCTTTATTCCCTGAAGGTCAATTTTTACAACACTAATTTGACTCTCAAACTCAGCCCAGTCAATCACTGCGGGCTTGATTAACTGAATCCACTCCCTCTCCACTCACTCTGCCGTCATCTGGGCCACCAGGTCAAAGGAAGCAAATCCAGCGTTGACGAAGTTGTCACGGTAGCGGCTCATCTTGATGGCATCCAGCCAGTCCCCCACAGTGGTGAAAGTGGTATAGTCTGGCACACAGCGGTCAAGCAAGGGCTGGGATACCCTACATTGGAGATCGGGGGGGGGAGGAAGAGAAACAGAGAGAGAGAGAGAGGGTTAAGGTCGTCACTCTACTGCCTCTAATGGCTCAACCTCATCCCCGAATGCACCCCGCTGAGCGCCACCTCTCCATCTCTCCACCTCTCCATCTCTCCACCTCTCCACCTCTCCTCCTCTCCTCTCTTCTCTTCCACATGTAAAGAGTTCTGTGCAGGGTGGGGTGGGGGCATATTTGGGGGGGGGGATTTTATGATTGTGGAGAGACTGGCTGGAGGCTTGGGTGGTGGATGCTGGTGCTGCAGCTGGTGAGGCTTGGGAGATGTTTTCATAGAACAGATGTCAAATCTGTTCTTAATCGATGAGTCAGCAAGTTGTTATTTACAAGGCTCCAAATTACACTGATGTTGAGAAACTACATTTTGTAATAATTGCTGTTAATAAAACAACAGGTTTCACAGTAAACATGTGGGCATATTCTTAGTCAAGCATGCATTTGATTAGCAGCATCTGTGACTCAATGAATGCTAAATGTCAAACGTTTAAGGACATTTCTGTGGAATGGAACAGTGATGGAATGGTAATATCTGTTTTTGGTTTATGTTCCTCCTATTGCAAAAAAAAAAAACCCACCACAGAATGAAATGGTTTTATGGAGTTGCGCTTCAAAACCATTTATAAATCTGGTCTAAATCTGATTCAAGAAAATTGGATTCCATTTGTTTTTTCTTGTCAACTCATATCAGATTTGGGCCACAGGAACCAACCTTGTAGGTTATATAGTATGATGCTCTATAGAACAAAGTCTTTGCATTTGGACTACATTGTCTCATTGATTTGAATTATGCATATTGCTTTTAGAACATCATCATTAGAACATGTCTGACAGTCCCTGTGTGGTTAGCAAGGTAGGACTTACTCGTGGCTTTGCTGATGCTGGCAACACATGGAAGGAGTGTTTAACTGTGTTCATATTAATATGCTGTGTTTAAAGGGTGAATGTGAGTGTGTTTGTATTCCTGAAAATGTGTTTTGCATGTTCCTGAGCACCTGTTGACAACCCCAAAAGGCCTTTCTTAAGAAAAAGCAAACCTCCTGTTCTGATCAATGCTGTAGATAGAGAGGCCACCTTGGGAGTTTTAATAAAACTGGTCTACAACTCAGAGTGAAGTGGAGCGGATGAAGAAGAGTGGAGGTGGAGGTGGAGGGGGAAGGTAGGGAGGTGAAGGAGGAGAAACAGATGAGGGAGCAGGCAAACTGAAAGAGCACCACTGTTTTCCCTCCTCTCTGCTCGGCTGATCCCTGTCATCCTTTTTGATGGCATTAGATTCATTAACAATTAAAAGAGGAATGGAGAGAGAAAAGAGGGAGAAAAGAGGAAAAAGGCATGGAGAGGGGAGTTAATAACAGTGATACAGAGGCTCCATTGAGTGGTGTAGATGGAGTGATTTTTAATAAGGCCTGCGCTTTGGAGCCCAAGGCCTCGGGCCGTCGTTAACACCAGACTCTGGCTTCTCTTAATGGAGTATTGTTAGTGTTCCCTCTCTAAAGCTGGCTTCAAAAAAGGTCCACGCTGTAGCTGGCCAGATGTGAGCCACAGGCAGAAATGGCAGGAAAGCTGGGTAATTTTGTTCAATAGCTAGTGAAACAGTTAAAGGCCAAGCCTGGTTCAAGGTCAATGGTTGGGACTTTTGCAGTTTCACCAGGTCTTGTTCAAGTAATTTGGGTTTTTAAGAAGGCAGGAAAGAGGATGTGATTCAATTTTAAATGTTGACTTTTGCAATTACAACTGAGATTCAACAGTTAAAATAAATATAGAAATTACTTTTAACAACGGAGGCCTAACATTAATTTCTCATGACACTTTAATCCTACGATGCAACAATACAGCCATGCCAAGAACAAAACCGCCAAATGACTTTTTATGCCAGACAGTGTCATCTCACCTCCAGCCATCCTTCAGTGGCAACCACGATGACAGTCTCATCTCTCACTCTTCCCTTGTTAGGTTTGTTCGGCAGGAGGCCACCTCTCTGCTGGCCCGTTTAAAATCTCGTTAGTGGCTAATTAAAAGGCGCTCCCAACTTTTTTTTTTTTTTGCATCGCCCTAATCGAGCTAATTAACCGCAAGCTTAATCTTCCAAGAATGTCACTTAGGTGGCCAACCGAGACCCTGGTTTCCCCCATGAGCCCAAACCAGGATTGTCTGCGGCCCTCCCTTAAGACAGAAAGACCCTGTTGCAGGGACAGATAGGTAGGTCAACCCCCTCCTCCCCTCCCCATCGCTCCAACTCTGCCAACCTCTATCCTCCGAATTCTTTCCAAGAAACAGGTTGCAGAGAGAGGGAGAGCAGCTAAATGTAGATGTGACATCATTGATTGAGCTCCCAGTTGGCAGGGGAGTTGCTTTAAGGGCTTTATTGAGCCATGGTAATTTGGATTTGCATAATGGCCCGGGCTGCATTTGTGAGAACTAGAGAGTTGCATGCGAAGAAATCTGCACTTTAAGTTGTTACTAGTGTTACAGCTGAGTCAGAGTGGCTCACACCCGCCTTATAAACTTGGATAAGGAATGTTTGCACACTGGGAATCATTACTGCCAAATAAAATGGCTCGGCCAGTACTCTTGTGGCTAAAAAGTCAAGTGTATTCTTATGATTAACTAATGACCTTTTACTGCAATCCATCAAGTCAGTCCTGCAGGTCTACTCCAATGTATGACTTAAGAAAACCAGAGAAGAGATTTAGAAAACCGGCACAAGTATTCAAATTATACATAATTGGACATCATTGCCCTTTAGGAAATTCCTTCCATCCATCCATCCATTATCTATACCGCTTGTCCCATTCGGGGTCACGGGGGAGGATGGGAACCGATCCTAGCTGACATTGGGCGAGAGGCAGGTTACACCCTGAACTGGTTGCCAGTCAATCACAGCGCTGACATACAGAGACAGACTTTCATGCTCACTCCTACTGGCAAATAGGGGTCACCAATTCACCATATGGGAACCCATGCATGAAAGAACATGAAAACTCCACACAGAAAGTCTCTGTATGATGGGGGATTCAAACCAGGAGCCTTCTTAATGTGAGGCAACAGCACTAATCACTGCACCACCGTGCAGGCCTGCTTTAGGAAAATCTTTCAATGAAACTTAATGAGGTAGCCAGGTTCAAAGTTAAACTCTACTTTCACTACTATAAGCTCCAACCAGCACAGATAGGACATGGCATTTGCTTTTATCTTTGTCGAACAGGAACTTCTGTTACTGAATGTGACCAACATGTTTTTGTATCACCATGTTCCAACTTACCCAGTGGACTGTGCGCTGTTGGTGACCACCTTGAGGCTGGCAGCATTACGAATAAGCTTATCCAGCGTGGCCACAATCTGGGTGAATTTGGGTCGCAGGTTCCTCTCTTTCACCCAGCAGTCCAACATGAGCTGATGCAGGGCCGTTGGGCAGTCCATGGGTGGGGGCAGTCGATAGTCCTGCTCCACAGCATTTATAACCTGGGGAAGGACGGCAAGGAAATCACAATCACTTCTAATCTCAAAGATTGGTGTAGAGGGAGGAGGAACAATACAACGTGAGTGATGGGTCAATAAAAAGATCAGGTGAGTAGTGCCAGCAGCGGGTGGATGAGGAAAATGATGAGAGTGTCAGCGATAAATAGGAAAAAAGGCTTTAGGGAAAGCATTGAAATAAAAGCTGAAATTGCTTTAAGACATTGAGGATCTATTACAATTTTAAATGTCTACATTAATTATCTTGAAATGCAAAATGCTACTTCTCAGGAATTTTTCAACAGAACAACTTTTTTTTTTCTTATTATTTGCAAGTGTGAATATATCACATGACACACAAAAAAAACCTTATATCTGCTTACATCTTGATTGCTCATGTCCCAGTACGGCCGCTCGCCGTACGACATTACTTCCCACATGACAATGCCGTAGCTCCACACGTCGCTGGCTGAGGTGAACTTCCTGTAGGCAATCGCCTCGGGAGCCGTCCAGCGAATGGGGATCTTTCCTCCCTGTGGATATGCGAATGAGTAGGTGAGCATGAAATACTGGAAGGATGGAGCACAAACACAGTCACACACATACAAGAGGAAGAGAGAGGGTGAGAAAAAAAACACAAGTCTAAGGGAAATGTTGATGCACAACACGTGGGTGCATGCAACCCAAACACCACATACACACAAGGTTAGTGACACACAGTTACAGGAAATGATATGTACAAACAAGTGAGGCTGTAATATTTAATGTGCTACTAATTGTATTTTTTAACATCAATATATCATCATATAATAATTCATAAAACAGATTAAACTTAAGGCAAGCTGACTGAATTCTCATGGTAGCCTGACATTAGATAACACAGTAACCAACACGTATCATTTGGATGTAACTAGAACCGCCATCCAGTCAATACTGATGTGATTGTGGAGTCAGCTGGATTCCTGTCTGAATATCCATCTGCCTGAGGTCATCAAACACAAGCTTGCAGACTCTTGTGGTTCCCACGATTATCTCACGTTAACAGTGTTTGAAGTAAGAATACGCTTCCCAGCTAACACCATCGCTTTCCATCGCTTTTTATTTAACAGAATAGACGAGTTGGAAAAATCTTTCACTCCACCTAAATGACCTGTTTTATGGTAGGTCGATGTGGCATATTCAAAACACTGTGGCAGATTTGTATTGGATGAAGAGACACCTTTTCCTGTTTTAAAAGTCAACACACTCAGAGGATTCAAACTACATGTCTCTGTACAGGTCTCAGGAGTATGTGTGTCTGTCTAAAGCTAACGTTCATGTTTATTGATGACAATCCAACTTTGCCTTTGTGCATTTACCTCATTAATTCATAACAGAAAGTCCATTCATTTGTCAGGTAAGTATCCTGAGCCATATCTGGCCAATCTTTTTATAGTTACAAACAGCAACATGTGCAGGAAATCATTTTGCATTTACAAGTGTCAAAAATGATCTCCTTAGAAAATATTTATCTGTTCCAAAAAATTCCATAATTTCTAAATTAAGCACAAATTCAGCTGAACTATATTTTTGTGTTGATCGACTTTTACAAATGTTCAAAGCGTTACATCCTAAGTGAGAATATAACGATTAGGACATTTGGGAACTGATTTGACACTGAACTATTTTTGTAAAATAGTTAGTTAAACTACTACAGTAATATAGTTATGATGTATTGATGTTAAAACATTACATGTAGCACTGTTAAACATTGATTTCGAACACAAGTACACTGACACAAAAATACAAACACACACACACACACACATGTTTTTATGCCGGACTCACCAGGGAGCTGGTGTAAGTGGGGTCTGTTGCGTCATCCTCGAGGAAACGCGACAGGCCGAAGTCAGACACCTTACACACCAGATTACTGTTGACTAAGATGTTTCGGGCAGCCAAGTCTCTGTGCACGTAGTTCATGTCTGACAGATACTTCATGCCTGCTGCGATACCACGCAACATGCCAACCAGCTGGATCACTGTGAACTGCCCGTCATTGAGCTGGCAAAGTTAGAGAGAGAATGGCAGGGATAAATTGGACTGTAGATCAAGGTTGAATGTTCAAAGGAACGAATATTTATGTTTGTACCCTTTTTACCTTTATTTGTCCTACCTGTCTTTCTGTTTTCAGTATCTCTAAGAATACTTTCAAATGTCCTCTTACATCACACAGTTAAGTCTTTTTCAGCTTTATCTAAACATTCTCCATTCATCCCTTCTCTATAGCTATTCATCAGTCTCCTTTTTATAGCATACAAAGTATTGTGTGACTCTGACATCGTGATTCATGCAGTATGAGAGCTTTGTAAATGTCATCAATTTCCTGAATGCATTTATTCTTTATAATCTCTGCAGCAGCGCTTAAGCAGACCTTATAAGGTTTAGATGACTAAAAACTATCAAGCAGATTTAGATGGTATTATTAGCTGGATAGAGCTTTATTGATAAAATTTGAAAATACATGTTTTATCACGACTTGATAATTTTGGAGATTCTTTTTTTTTTCCTCTTTTTAATTTGCTCTTACCCTTAAGAAAGAGTCCAGCGCTCCATTCTCCATGAACTCAGTCACAATCATCACCGGCCGACTCTTGGTGACCACACCTTCCAGACGGATGATGTTGGGGTGATCAAACTGGCCCATGATGGAAGCCTCAGACAGGAAGTCTCGCCTCTGCCGGTCAGTGTAGCCCACCTTGAGAGTCTTGATAGCAACGATGATCTCTCGGCGCCCAGGCAGCTTTAGGCGACCGCGGCACACCTCGCCAAACTCTCCTGCGAGAGCCAAGGTGAGACGGCAAGAGAAACAGAAAAAAAAAGAGGAATAGGAGAGATGGAAGGAGAGTGAGAGTAAGAGGGAGGGGAGAGAGGCATGACGGAAGAGTGGAGGAGAGTGGGGGGAAAGAGGGGAGAGGGTACAGTTAACTGGTTAGAACCAAGGAGTCAGGGAAGGGTAGCAGGGAAGTGGGACAGGGGGGACTGCAAGAGAAGCCAGGACTCTAGGCCAGTGTCAATGGATGATGGTGACAGGGGAGCATTCAGTGTTTTTTGTGCTATTAAGCTACGGATTAAAAGAAACAGCATGATGAATGTGAGGCATGATGACAAAATGTGAGAAGATGGGAAATGCTTGTAGAAATAAATGGGCAAAGCGGGGTGACACTGTAAAATGTGCTGAGGGGTACAGAGGAGGAAGGGGGGTAAGAATCAGGGGGGTGTTGCTAAGCTTCGGAAGGGCTTGCATAGCGGGCACAAGAGGAGGAGATAGGCGGAGAAAGAAGCTTTGGGGTTTTGGGGGTCGTGGACGCTTTACGTTTAGAGTCTACACCAAGCGAGTGCATTAATGATAGGCCGTGATAGTGATGTGGCGTCAACATAGTTGAAAAGGTGACAAAAGTGAGGGAGGTCAGGGTGGAGAGGGTGAGGGATGGAGGAATGGGGGGGGATGGATTTAGGAAGGGGTAGAGGAGATGAGGGGGACAGGGAAGACAGGGGTTTGAGGGTTTGTCACTTTAAAGGCGAATGCTGGGGAGCGACGGGTTTCAAGTAGTAGCCTCAGCAGTAGAAGAGCTCTTGAGGGTAGTAGTAGCAGTAGTAATGGTAGTAGCAGAAGCAGTAGTAGAGACTCCCATCTCTGCCATCACAACGTCCTCCATTTTGGCTCAGAAACAATACTAAGAAAACTCAACCTCATTTGGCACGTCCTGCAGCTTTTGAGCAGATATATATTACTCTCAAGAACATCAAAATCATTGAATATTCTACTATCTACAACATCAAATGTTGGGGAGGGATTCTAAGGGAGGGGACACAATGAAATAGTGGAAACGGTGCTTGGAACAGAGGTCGAATGTAGTGATCCAGTAGAAGCACTCTTTGATAAAGAGGTTCTGAAGACATTTAAAAGTGGAGAGGATCAGAGACACCAATCCTGGAAACTACTTCATGATGTTACAACCCATCCAGAGAGAATTTATACTTCACTGGATGAAGGAAATAGGCCTGCTTTGTTGCTAGTTGCTTTGCACAACCCAACCCTGGGCTGCGACGCATTAAAACAATGTAATGTATGATAGTCCTAACCCAGCTGATAAGCCTATAGGGGGTAAGCCTTCCCCCATGGTGTCATGAGTTTCTAAAAATGTCTGTCATTTACAGAACTCAACGGGCTGTTGAAATACAAACTTAAAAACTGGGGAAATGTATGTGCAAGTATTCATAGTTAAATGATGTGTCTATCTGTTGAGAAGTTTTAAAAAGGAAGGCAAACAAGTGTGCCAAAAAATAATAATGCTGGAAGAGATAAGGGGAAAAATACACATTTGCCTTTGGATAGGATTTAAAGTTCCCCAAGAGAAATAAATCCTGTCTGTATGGAGCTGCAGACTTGCATTATCCAAACCCTGCTTACAACAAACTCAAGAAATAAACTTTAATAAGTTATGAATGATCCCACTTATTCCTACTTATATTTACTAAATGAATGTACTCACACTGCATCACTCTTTTTCCAGGATTGAGCTCCAATTTTGTTTTTGGGTGAGATGATATAACGTCGAACAAAAGGTACAACATCTACTCCGAAATTAACGAAAGGGTGATATGACTTAACTTTTAAAGGGCACACTATGGCTAGTGATGTTTAAAACACAGGAGTGCTGGAGACGACTGTAAGACTGGAGAGGGAGGATTCCTAATAGGTGACGAGTGTGGGAGGGGTGGGAGCAAGGAGAGGGCTTTCGATGAATTGAGTGAAAGTACCGCTTGGTGTGAAGTCCTCTAACGGTATGGCCTGGAGGTGACTAGCAGCCTTCCCCCTGTAGCTCAGGAGCTTTGGTGGGTTACCTGCGCCAATGACCTCCTCGATCTTCACGCAGGAAACGTCTATCTCCTTGGCGAACTCGCGCACCGCCTCATTGGGGTCCTCGTAGGTGAAGGGGTCAATGTAGACCTTCATTCCCGGCGTTACTATAGGGGATTCAGTGGCAAGAACAGGAAAGTGAATATATGCAATCAAACACAATTTAAACAGCATAATTTCGTATGTGAAGTTCCTAAAAAAAAGCTATAATAGCCAAGCATAGGTAGTTGTTAAGTTGAGGTATAGGAAAACTAATCCTGGAATTTAAAAAAATGCTTCAATGACAGGCATCTCAGCAAAGAGACTTACTGTACTGCTGCAGTTTCTCTGTGTACTCAGACTCTGAACCGTTTCTCTGCTTTCTGTAGAGAAAGATGAAAAACACACACTTAGTCATGTGGACTCGACACAGCAGGGCGCAAGTACTGGAAGGAACAAAGGCACGAGGAGAAAACAGACCCTAATAATGTCTGCAAAAATGTAGCCAAACTACAATGTGCCTTTTTTTTTGCTTTGGGAACAAGGAATACTCCGTAGATAAAGATTGCATCAATGCCTGCCGGTGAAATGATTCATACTCGGGGACTGTAACACAACTCTAAACAAAGAATATCATACCATTGTTTGAAGGAGCAAGAGAAAGACATTCATTCTGGGTACCCCCAAAATGAGAAGAAGCCGAGACAAAAGCAGACTCAAACTGCAAGCTCAGCTGTCTCGCCTTGCTCGCCCTGTAGACATCCACTGCTCATTTTATTCAAACGGCCTGTTATTTTTCTCTCTCGTGCTCTCATTCTTTACTACTTCTCTTTCCATAGTTATCCTGCTTTTTATTTTACTCATGTTTCTCAGTCTGTATCCTTATCCTCCTGGATGTGTACAAAGATGATGACAAAGTGAGGGGGCTTGGTTGTGGAAATGACATGTTAATGTGCTTCCTTTGTTGTCTAACCAGTAACCAGGGCAATAATACCCCATGGTGATTTGCATCCTATTTCAAATTCTAATTCCGATCCAGAATATGCCAAAGCTCAGTGTTTTGTATGATGACTATTTTCTCCTTTTTCTTCTGTGGCAGTCAAAGCAGTGGCTAAGCCAAGACCCTGAGAGAGACACGATGTAGTGGTGTGAAAATAGAGGCGAGCGTAAAGGCAGGAGGGGAGCAGGAGAGGAGGGGAGCCAGGGAGATTATTATTCAGTCTAGCGTGACTGATGCCCACGCTTGTCAGCCACAGCCTGAACTGACTTGTGGAGGGAAGCCAGTGGGCGCCAGTCAGCGGTGGGTGCCAACCTTTCACACCTATATACACACAAGCACTGCATTTGCAGCTTGACAAATGAGTGGTATAAGGATAAACGAGTGTGGTTAGACTCAGCTGAAGCAGTGTCAGACTTTTTGAAAGGTCTGAGCAGCCGCTCGCATCTTCCCAGTCAATTGGGCCCAGCAGACAGGGGCGCATCCAGGGTCCTTTGTGGTTGGGCAACTGCACAGATGATTTTGAGTGCTGGGCCATGAGGGCAGGCCTATCAGGCCTAACAGCTGCTCCACCATGCTGTGTCCAGTGAGCAAAGTAGCAATTTGGCCAAAGCTGTTTACTACTCACAAATTCAGAAGGCTAATCTGGAATTCAGTGACCTCACAGGTGGCACAGAAATCCGCAGAGACTGTTTTGGGGTGGTTTAGAGGACGTACAAAAAAAGTTAACATTTGAAGGTATCCCCTTCTTTTTTTTTTTACTTGAAGGTAAAATATTCCCACAAATGTTTTTGCAAGTCCTTTGCAGTTGGAATAAATTATTTTAGACATACAAAGGCAAATGAGTCAGTGTAGAAGTCTTTTTTACCAAGCAGCATTTTGCAGTTGCTACCCAAATTACTCATGTTCATCTTTCACAAGAGTTGACTATTTGAAAGGATGATGGGGAGTTTACTGACCTGAGGCAGACAATAGCGATGACCACAACTGCAATGATGAATACTAAGATGGTGGTGGCCGATCCAACGATAAGTGGTAGCTGCTCCTGCCATGGCTTTGGAGGATCAGCTTTAGAGAGTGAGAAAGAAAGTGGTTACTCGTAGTTAACAACGTAGACCAACAGTAGCTACAGACCATTTCTTTAGCTACAAAATGTACCACCTTGTGTGCAATGCTTTAAGTCGTATGCCTACAAATGCAAAACTATACTCTCCTGTTCTTCAGTCAAGACAGACTTTTAGTTTTTATAAAATTTTGTCTGCAAAATTATGAGTATGCAGAGCAAGATAAGGACGAATTCCATGACTGATTTCAAAGAAATGGAAGATTCCACCAAATCAAAAGTGGATTTCTCGAAAAGGATTTCAGTTCTTTTGCACCAAAAATAGTCGTAGTAGCTTCTCTTTTCATAAGCTTTTGAGCCTCAATTATGTTCACAAGCTTATGCACAGCACTTTTATAGAGGTAATACTGCTAAGCCCAGCATATCCTATCATATCCCTGGGTAATGAAGTAGGTATTGGACATACTTTGCAGGTTGGTGCTGAAGTCTGCTGGGCTGCTGTAACGGCCATAACCAGCCACTGTTCTAGCCCGGACTTGCACCACATAAGGTGTTCCAGCCTTGAGACCCTCAATGCGGGCATTGCTCCGTTGGGCAGTCATGGTATGAGCGATGGCCTCACCCTGATCCTGCAAAGAAGAGACAGTCAGTGATCAAAATATCCAGCTCCAGCTGTCTGAGACAAAAGCCAGAGAAAGAGAAATGAAAATAGTGCTGGTGTTTTTTAATCCAACAGGAGAAGGACAAGACAACAAAACGGAAGATTTCCAAAAATTGCCTTTATTCTCTCCCTGAGGCAGCTCCGGTCAAACTTCTGGCTCGAAAAATACAAAAACTTTCTGATGTATGGATTTGGAAAAGAACAGGGATAATAGGGAAGGCAAGAAATAGATGGAATTGGGGATACAGAAAAGGCCAGAGAATAATATAAATATGGGGGATTGGGAGAAAATGGAGAAAAAAGAAAGGAAGGATTGAAGGCCGGAGCGAGGGGAAATAAGTAGGGAAGGATGATCACGAAGGCTGAGATTGGAAATGGTGACGTTTGTCACTGCAACCATGTACTTATCAGCAGAGACATTGTTTTCCACACTTACAGACACACAGATTAAACAGAAACCATGCAAGTCATTGAAATTGGATTGAATTAGAGGCATTGACTTACATTGCCGCTTACCTTCTCATGGTACTTAATCTCATAATCCAGAATGATTCCGTTGGGTTTCTCTGGGGGCAGCCAGGACAGGCTCATGGTGCTTGCTGTGGCTGCCATCAGGTGAACTGTGGGCACTGCAGATGGAGCTACATTAGGGGGGAAAAAAATAAATGAAAAGTTAGCTTTAATGATTGTTGTTTTCTGTGTTATGTGTTTCAAGTTCTATAGCCTTTGTGTATCCACACAAGGATAAACACAAAGTCCTGGGCTCTGGTCCTTTTCAAAGCTTCGGCCAGTAGTTAGTATGCTGAACCATGCCCCACTAATGCTCAAATTCTCCCTCTGAGTCCTCGTGGAGGGAGAGGGAATGTCTAATTCTCCTGTGACAAAAGAATCTAGCCGCAAAACTGATGGATAAATCTCTAGAACATGTAGATCCCTGGACCAACTTTAGAAAAGTTTGGAAACCGACAATTACACATGCAACCTTTTCCTGCATTTTTCTTTGTTTCATCCTTACTGAACAACTGCTGCACTTTTGCTCCATTCTCAGTTTATTTTCTTAGTCAAATCATGTTTTATATACTGTGCGAACATGTTCAACTAATACTCAAGAAAATGTACCCAAAACACTATAACATAATTAATATAATGTTCAAATCAATACAAATGTAAACATGCATGCCTTGGTCCTCGGACACAAACGTTTGCAGAAAAGCATAAACACACTGGCCCTACTCCCACCTGAGCTTTTTATGCTTAGTTCACATGTGCCTATTAATGGCCAATTGCTGACTGCCTCCCTGTCTCTTTACTCTATTCTAAATGCAGGTTTGTTCCATACCTCTGACTCACTTCCTCCCCCTAGTCTACTCCTTATCTGTTGTTTCAACTTCAACTGTCTATCTCCATTGGTATCTGACCTTCAAAAGAAAAGTGACACTTTTCAACCACCTTCTTCTTTCCCCGCTTTTCCTCCACAACTTTTCACTTTTCATAAGACCTCAAAGTCCAAACTATCTAGTCTCACTTCTTTCCTCCAAGCTTTTTAATCCCCAGTGTTAAGTTATTTGATCCTCCCCCATGCATTCACCTTCTCCTTCTGCTGTCTGCTTTTGTGGCCAGACATCCTTCTGTTTCTCTTTCTCTTTTCTCCCCAAACCTTCCCTTCCCTGGTTCTTTCGCTCCCAAGCCAGCTCCATCCACCAAGGTCCTCTCTCTTTCCCCCCCAGAAGACAATGCTTCCTACGCAGAATCCCCGGTTACCCTAGCCAGGGGATTAGGGGCCCTCCTCAGGGAGAAGACATTGGGGTAACCATGGAGGTGGCCTCTGGGGCTTATCACCGCCCTTTTATTTATGTTGGTTCTTAAAAGGTGAATGCACATGCAGGGGTGGTTTGGGAACTCAACCAGGGGATAATCTGATCACAGTTGATGCTCTCTTGCCCCTTCCTTTACCCTAACCCTTCTATCTCTCTACACCCAACTGACCCTCTAAGCATCCAAGATGGACAGCCGTCCCTGTCAGCCCAGTACCAGACCCTTTGTGAAACAATGAGACCCTCATATGGGGTCCTGTAGGGTCTTTGGGGTCCTAGACCTGCAAACAGCATGCATTCCAAAAACATCTTTAAAGAGCAGGAACTCAAGGCTAGAGGTTAGAAGGACAAGGCCATGGATGGAAGAGAGCGATGACAGGAGAGGGAGAAAAGGGGTAACCATGGCGCTGTTTAAGCCAGCAGATATAGCAAACTTTACATAGCGGCTAAACACATCCAAGGCAAAACTTAAGGGGCCAGGGAAAACCTCAATATAGAGACCAACTCGAGAGACTAAGCATGATAGCATGGAAATATTTTGCGGTTGTTTAAGTTAATTGATCTGCCTAAAATGACCAAATTTCTAGAAAAGATGTATATGCCTCCCTGCTTGCACAACTGCCTACCAACCTACCTTTTAACAATTAACCCTGACAATAAATTGACAGTTTACAAGGCACTCATGCAATAGAGTAGCTTACCAAGACTGCCCCGAATGATTCTGCATATCATCAGGGTTTCAATTTTCTGTACATCATGAACATTTTAATCCCTGCAATGATTGCTACATTGGCCCGGTTACTTTTATTGCTGTGGGTTGGATGAGTGGTGGGTTGCAAGCAGTGGGCAGCGAGAATGCTGAAGGTTGAACACTTTGAATATACACTGCCTCGCTATTGCTATTTGCAGCCGTGTTAGTACAGAGCATGCTGTGGGTGTGTGAAAAAGGTCCCTTTTCTAAGCTCATTCAGAAGAATGTCTTCCTTCTCAATCCTTGTTCAAAGGAAAAATATGTAACATACTCCTACATGCATACGAAGAATTGATCTCTACTTCTTAAGTACGGAAGACATTCTCTGACATCTTTTTCTAGCCTTTGATAGCTGGCAGCGCCTACAAGTTCAGTATTGATCTCTGACAGGTAGCCATGAGGCTGCAAGTTTACCTACCAGCCTGATTTGTGGTGATGTTCACAGTCGAGAACTGGGGTGTGTAAGGGCTCTTGTTGGAGACGCCGTTGACTGCTTGAATCTCAAAGCTGTACTGCGTGTGGGCTTGTAGGTTACGGACGGCCACTCTGCGCTGGGTCAGGCCCAGGTGGCGTGGCGAGATGTCCACATTGTCATCGCACCGTGAGCACATCCCCCGCTCGGGCAGGCACTTCTTACAGATGACATTGTAGAAGATGTCTTCACGGCCGCCCAAGTCACGCGGGTCGCTCCATTCCAGTACGAGAGAGGTTTCATTCACGCTGGAGATGACACTGCGCGGTGCGGAGGGAACGGCTGAAAAAGAGAGGCAAAGCGTGGATGAGATGAGAAAAATAGGTTTGGAATGAGAATGGATTTAATTTCCATGCACAATAGGTGTAAAAAAATTGGTCTTGGTGACAGCACAGAGACATACTGACAATAGAGAGGGACTCAAATTGCAAAAGACAGTTTACATACCATTATACACACGTACATTAATTATTTCACAGCTGCTATCGACACAATTGTTGGCTGTGGTATTTGTGAATATTTAATGCTTTAACTAGCCATATTTTTCTGCTGTATAACAAGAGATTGTTGCAGCAGTTCTTGAGAAAGAAAGAGAACTGGAGTTCACATTTGAATGTGTGTGTATTTGTGTATGTATGTGTGAGTGTAAAGTGCTTGGGGGGACAAGCGAGACAAACTATTGGCAGAGCTTTGGCAATTCTTATCCAATTACCGGAGCCTTATCTCTCACTGCACTAAGGGAGAATCAGCCCCCCACCCCAGCAACACAAAAAAAAGGATATTCTCTCTTCACTAGGAAATGAATTAGCTCATACGTGTGTGTGTCTCTTAGCAAACGCACTGCTGCTGGAAAAATTCCTCCACTGTCTATCTGTAAAGAGACAGCAGTATTGTAACAAATAGACCTCATAGTGAGGCACGGAGGGGGGAGGGGTAGAATGATAACATTTCAGGATAACGTTGGGAAAGCAAGCAGACTTGTTCCGTGTGGTGTGGTGGGAACATACTGCTCAGAGCTTTCATAAGCAATTGAGGGCACCATTCAAAGAGGGAAGTCTGACAGAACAATTCGAACAGATTATTGTTTTATTTCTACCAATAAACGTGATAATTGTCTAATTATGACCCATTTAGCGATTCCTGCATTTTGAGCAAGAAAAAGAGCATGGACAGGATTGCATTTTTTAAGGAATTGTTATATTGCATATTTCATTAAGATTGTTGACTCATGTAGGTGTGATGCAGTAACTTAAAATCAGTCTTTACTTACTAGTGCATGGAGAGTCTGGAGAATCAGTGTCCGAGCGGTAGTAACCATTTCGACAGGAGCAGACGCTAGATGCCCCTGAGCTGGCACGGCTGTTTGCTGGACATGGTAAGCAGAAGCTATCTCCCTGTTTGGACTTGAAGGTTCCAGGGCTGCAAGCTGATGGAGAAGAGCGATAAATTGAAAAATGAACAAGTGAGTAGTGACTTAAATTAATTTTGGACTTGAAGGAATGCACAGTATTTACATTGGAATTATCTTTGTTCCCTCTGTATTCCAAGTCAAATTTCCCAATAGGCAGTATACAGTAGGGTGTACATGTTCATATTGTGCACATGATCCCCCCAACCTACATGTTCCCTTTTCCCCCACTTTTTTGAAAGTGGGTCTTCAGCAAACTGCAGCTAGCAAAGGCAAAAGGTTCTTTAGCAGCATGTAGCTTTTTGCATTAACTCAGGTCCACACAAAGAGACTGTCAATCCAAATAAGAAACCCAACCCTTTGAAGCTAAAATGCTGGCAGAATGCTTTCATATGAATGAAGCTTTCATGAAATTCATAAATAAGCATACACAGACAAAAATCACACAACAAGTGGTGATGTGGTTATGGTTTTGTATGAAACCAGGCCAAGATTTACTTCTGCACACACACATACACCATCCTGTCCTGGAGTTGTTGTAATGTGCTCAAGAATAAGATGCTTTTCTCAAGAAAAATAGCAAGTCGGCATCCTTCTGCCTTTTCAATCACTCCCTTCACAGACCTTTGCAAAACTATCTAAAATGTTGTTTACCTACCCTGGCTCCTGATTGTTGAAGCCTAGTTAATCAGATGAAAACACTGCTATCCTTTGTTGATGTCCCCTCTCCATTTATAGCAGTCGTTGGGACGTTTATAACTCAGCTGATAAGTTTCAGATATACTGGGAAACACTGACGGCGGCACTGTGAACCAGAACGCTTTGGCAGGCTCCATATCTTTGATAAACAGTCTTGTTAAAAGATGAATGAGTTTGCCGCAGTGCTTAATAAAAAAGACAAGAGCAGGTAAGACAGTCAAAGTTTACAGGGGCCAGTTGATTAGCTGACCCACTAGAGCGCTAGCTCGTCAAAGTCAAGGCCACAGCTCTATGTTTGTCCCCCTGAATGACAATTTTAGCTCCTATGCTTTTTTTTTCTTTTTACCTTGTGTTGGAAAATAAAGGTTGGAGTTCAAATCTGCAGCAGGCCACTTCCTGCTCCTGCTCTTATCCCGTTTTTGAAAGGTCAATATTAGCACAAAACCGCTAGTTAACTGCAGCGTGTACACTAGCACTAAGTGTATTTGTTCTTTCACCATTAATCACATTGATCCACACCTCTGGCCAACAGAAGGATATGTTGATAAAGAGATAAGAAATGACCTCGAGCTTTACCAGGTGGAAGAATTGCTTCTTGTATTTTGTAACATGACCCGAGCTAGTTCATTTAAGTTCATTCAAAAAAATAAACTACAAGCCATTTCTCATCTCACTGGGGCTGGGGCAATTGGTTTTTTGAACATGTTAGCCTAATGAAAGATGTTGAGCGAAAAGCTTTTTATCAGGGAAGGGCTGAAAGTGCTGATCAATCACTTTCAACAAGTAAAAAGGGTCATCCTCTGTCTTTCATCCATTTCCCCCTTAGAGGAACCACTGTAGAATGAGGAAGAATAAGAGACAAGGGGCTGGAGAAAAGGGGAGTGAGAGGTGGAAGAGGTGGAGGCATTGAAAATGCTAATCCTGCAGGCATTTTCTCCCCTATTCCCCACTCCCCTGTGTCTTATCCTCTCATGCAGAACACAGAGCTTAAGGAACTGATTAGAATGTATGCTGAAATTGGAAAGTGTGGAGCATGAAGAAAAAAAAAGTAAAGACTATTGGGGGTGAAAAATCTGCAGTAAACCACTGGAAAAGGCAAGAAGAAGAAAAAACTCATCAATTAATATTAATGCAGACATTCTTACAGTAACTCTAGTGGTGTTTTAATGAGAGCAACAGCCTCCAGATAGGGAAGGAATGGGTGAAGGAGAGGTAGTAATGAGAAGGGGTGAGAAATGTTGGTGGGGCAGTATATAGGGGATATTCCACGTTTAACCGAGGACAGAAAAGCAGAAAAGGAACAGACATGTGAAACGTGTGCTGAGTAAAGTAGTTGGAGAGGAGGGTGGACCTGAGAAGGGGTAAAGAGGGGGAGATTTATGCCTTGTGGTTTCCAGTGAAGCTTGATTAGAGAGCATTTTATCAGGGCCGAGTCACCAGGGCTTTAACCTTGAGCTGCCAGAAACAAACATACACTCCAGGTTTTAGATTTACTATACTCTCTCAAACCTACACTCTAACTTTTAAATTGTGCACACATCAATACTTAGTGCTGTATCCATGCCCTCTCTGCCTGATCGCCACAGTAGTTACTGAGCAAAAATGTCTTCCAGACTCATTTCTCCAGACTATATGACGAAGAATGAGCCCTCTGAACTCAGTCAGGCAAGAATGACGCGCAAAACATACATCAACTGTTCATGCTCTGCTCACACACCTCCATCTCAAGCCTCCTGATCAATATCCCTGCCACCACCCCTGTCTGTCTCTCATTCCGCTGTCTCCTTTTGACCTTAGCCTAATTTTACGCCCCCATACCCCTCAACACACACACATTTTCCATTTATCCTTCCCCATCCTCCTGCTGTCACCTGCACTCCATTTCAACCGAGACCTTGCTGTTTAAATTCACCTTGCTCTCAACCTCTGTGAACCCGTCATGTTTTCCATCAGACCTGAAACCATCATAGAGCCTTCGAGCCCGCAGAGGCAAACAGCCTCCCCTGCATTTCCATTTATTTAGCGACCAACTGCCAGGCAAAACTGAGGTCAGACGGGGGAACAGTCGCTTGCTGACAGTGTCATCTAGTGTGTATTATTCTACATTCTAGTCGTTGGGATTGATAAGTCAAAAAATACAAGGCATATAAATAGCTCATAATAATGTGACAGCTGGACATTCTAGTGATGGAGGCTGTAACCTGTAGCCAAAACAATACCGATTCAATCTCGCAGATTGTGTCTGGATGAGGTGTCCTTCAGTAAGATCCCTTACTACTCTCATATTGTAATTCTCTTCACATTAAAACATGTAATACCATCCACCTGAAAGGCAAATGGAACTTGTCTTGGCAGTCATAATGCAATCAATAATTAAACACCAAAGGGAAATCCCCCGCCAATTCCACTGTCATTTTCCAGGAAGGTGATACTCTGGAATATATATTATATGGAAATAGCACAGTGCTCTGTATATTTATACAAATGCACTAACTTGTCAGTTCAGCAGACAAAGAGCTCAGCTTTTTAAAAAAAATCTAAATCTAGATTGATACACATTCACTGTGGATAACCTAAGATATTGTTGTAAAAACACTCACCTTGACATTGGGTATCTTTCATGGCTGGTTCAAAACCCGCTGAGCATGTGCAGGCTCCTACGGGAACCATCCACTCGCCATCTCCGTTGCAATAAAGCTTCAGTGGAACTGACACCTCCACAGCATTGGGGACACAAGTTCCAGGTGCTATAACCAAGGACGTTGCCTCAGCCCCAGTTGCTGTCTCTGGGAAAACAGCAAAGTTGGCAATGGTGGTAGAGCACTTCTTATAAAAGACTCTCACTGAGATAAGGGACATGCAAGCACCAAGGTCCTGGAAGGCCAAGTAGAAACCAGCTTTGGACAACGGCCCAAAACTTCTGACTTTTGTGTTTACCCTTCCAGACTCGAGCATGGAAAAGCTCTCATCGGGGGCAATAGTGTCCACCTTCACATAAGGGTTCTCCATCCAGAATGGACTGGTGGCTGTGGCTGAATCTGAGTCCGACTCATAGTAGAACAGATTGAAGGTCTCTTTGCAGGAACCTGGGATGTTTGGAATGCTGTTGCAATCACGTACTGTGAATTTCATCTCCACATACACACGTAGTACATCCTTTCGTGGGATGAAGTCACTGCGTAGCCAGTTATTCTGGTTCAGCTCACGTACATTGCAGACTTGGTAAGTCCGGATGGGGTTCATGGCGTCATCGTAGCCACTCACCTCTTCCCACTGAAAAGTAAGTAGAAGAGACACATAAGCAGGTTAAAGACTGTACATGTTTGTTGGTATCTTTGATCGATTTGGTCTGACAAGTGCCAAAACAAGACATCATGTCTGGCCGGACAATTCCTCCATCTTCATACATCTTGCATTGAAACTTTTAGAGCAACATTTAGTCAGTTTGAAAGGTACATAGAGAATGAAAGAAATAGGGGATATGTGGCAACTTAAAGAAAAATAACCAAACTCTTATTTTCCTTTTTCTGTACTTTGGGTATTTTCCATTTCAACCTTGCTTTTGCCATGCTACGCCTTTCTTCTCTGGTTATTGTTGCGAAAAGCCAGGGACAGGAACTGCAAATTCATCACAATTACAGCGACCTGTCACCTCCCTTTCACAGAGCCACCACAGCATGTTTACCTCATATCTGTTTGGGAGTAGGAGCCACATTGCTTCACAACCAATTATGCTTCAATTACAGAGCAATGATCACAACGTCCTCTAATAAAGACGCCGGTTAACCTTCATGCTTCTCTGTTTTTACACTCCTCTACATCTTTCAATGCTACCGCGATACCCAGGGGGTGAATTACTTGGGATAAAATGGGATTCATTTTTCTAAACTTTGATTACCAGCTTCATTAAATGAGTGCAAGCAAACGAGACTATGAAAGCTTTCTTTGAGACACTGTAATCTAATGCATTTTTCAATCTCAAATGAGGACACTACGTTTAAATCATTTCACTTCAAATAGCGATTCCTGTGTGTATATCATATCTTTGAGAGTGTGCATGTGTGCTGAGGGATCTGCTCCCCTTTCCTATCCGAGAAACGGAGTGCGTTTAGTTTTTAACTAAGCCAAGGCCTTGCAACTTTATTTGCATAGTGCATTTCAAATACAAAACCAATTCAAACCGTTTTGCATAACTCATGACGGTGCATTAGATCATTTAGAAGACAATGAGTATGAAAATGAAACAGAATTAATACAATTGTGATAGGAATCAAAGTCAGTGTGTGGTTACGGATGCTCAAACCCAGTACTACTTTACATCACATTGCCATTCATCAACATCAAAAAAACTAAAATAGTAATAGCTAGTAACATTAATAAACTAAAAAGACCAAAGTTTGCCATGGAACATTTGACTGTCTCCAAACTCCGGCATAAACACACAAATTCCTTCTCCAGAGCCCGCTGTTTCCATTGCAGCTCGGAGCATCTTAATTAAGGCTGTGATATGGATGTGGTGGAGACAAGGCTATTCATCCAAGACCCTGGAGGCCGTGAGGGAGAGAGAGCAAGTATGGGCGTACTTCTAATGCGGTGGCATTAAAACGATGGCCCAACGAGAGAGCAAAAGAGGAAGTGACCAGAGGGAATCGATAATCGCCAGCCAGGTCAATGGGATGGCTAAAAGCATGAAGTGTCAATGGGTATTTAGTTTGCTATAATAAATCACCCACTGCAAAAGAGCAACGCAGCCAAGTGTTTGTGTGTGTGTGTATTGTGTGTGTGTTTGCTTGTGTGAGTCCGTCTGCCTGAGTGTCTTTTTGCTCTGTGTGTGTAGGTGTGTCTTATTGTGTGTGTGTCTTTCGAGAGAGGTCATCCCCTCTGAGATACGCACCAGTGGCCAAACATTTTGAGCGCCTGCTTACCAAGCCTGAATGAATTAAGTAGGTCATGTGAAAAAGGGTCAAGTTTCTTGGCATCGATTTCCAACAAGACAAATCGTTATGCAAGATTTGCGATCCACTTCATTTTCTCTTTGTCCTTCCCAATCAAGTCTTTTAATGTTACTTTTAGATGACGATGAACAATGATTGTGATGCACTTACACCCTCAGTGAAGCCCACATGGAAAAATATGTTTTACAATACTATGCAGAACTTGAACTTTGTGGAGAGAAATTTACTTATTGATATTGAACAAAGAAGCACTTTCAAGTTCTCTTTGGCAATTTCATACCTTTTTTTTTTTCTCTCCTTTGCTTTTGATTTAAGGTGAAACATTACCTGATAGTAGCCTTGATGTGAACATGGATAAACTAGCTTGTTTAACTAGCAAGTTAAGCTTATCTTAGGCATTAGATACAATGCTTTGGCTCCAAACAGTCTAGAGCTGTAGTAATTGCAGTACTTCATTTTTTCTGTTTGGTGTTGGTATGAGTAAGCTCTCCAAGGCTAATGTCAAATATATCTTAGCTTGCTCATAACATGTATTGGCATGCTGAGGATCTGTGCAGCAGACAATGATACAGCAACAATAATTATCTCCCCAAGCTAACTAACATGGAGTATTGTTATTAGTGTTGGTGCCATCCTGAGTCTGAGGGAAGCCATACTTTAATGTGGAATTTCCCCTTCATGACCCATCTGTTTTGGAAGATAAATGATGCAGTGTATGGTCAAAGACACTGTGATGCTAAGACGCTACGGGCTAGACAGTGAAACTGACAAATCCACATACCGAAGTGCAGGCGGAGTGGTGGAAGAATAGGATAGAATACATGTACACACACGAACACTTCAATCACGGTATGTGATGGCGGTGCATCGCTAGGATCTTCAGTCGGACGTTACCAGTAATTGAATATAATCCTATAAATAGACTTTCACAAATTGCTTCCCTCTTATGCCAAGAGTGTTTGCATTTGTAGTAGCACATAGATGTAGGTTGTCTCTGGATTCCCTGTCAAAAAATAGACACCGCTTATGCTCCTTCTGTGCAGCTTTTTTATCTGTGTTGTGCAACACTGAAACAAGGATAGAGACGCCGTGACTCACACTTGGCTGGACAGCATCCCTGGGAGAGTGTCTGTAGTCTGTGAGTGGGTCTATTTCTAAGAGTTTTTTTCTTAGAAATTGATTTTGTTTACTCCTATAGGCTGTCTCGCTCTGTATGGACATTTCTCTGGATTTTATTTAATCTCAGTCTCACTGCTCTCCCTCTCTTTTTGAGTTCTCTCAGGTTTTTTTTTTTTGTTTTGTTGCTGTATTCAGAAGCAGTATCGGCTCTTCTAAAGCACTCATCAGCCCGGAGAAAAAAAAAAAAAAAAAAGGCTGAAAAGTTTCATTTCAAGACCTCACACGCATACAAATAAACATTCAGCATATTGTGCAAAAAAAAAAAAAAAAAAAAAAAAGACAAACGAGAAGAATAAAGGGAGGGGAAACAAAAATGTTGGAAAGATAACTCAGGGACAGCTACCGTCTGTGCGAGCTCTGCTGCAAAAACAAAAAAGGCAGGGGAGAAACTCCTCTCCAGTCTTTTGGGAGGTAATATGGAAATTCTGGAGTGCAAAGGCTCCTGACTGTATGTATATCTCTGAAAAGAAGCATCTGTTGCGTGTTTGCTTGGAAAGAAACCGGGAGGCTTTTTTTCCCCTATGCCATTCTGCATTGGACCAGTGGGAGCATCTCTGCTGCATTGTAGCTTAATGAGGAGGAGGGGGGCACATGGAGGGAAAATAAGATAGACAGAGGAGGGAAGGCGAAAGGGGATCGAGGGCACAGAAGGCTGAGAAGGGGGTTTGTCCTCCTGATTGTTGCAGCTGAGGTGTGCCCGGCTTCATTAGTGCTTAGTTACTTGGAATTAAATAGAGGGGATAAGACAAGAGGGTGTGCGACTTTCGAACAGCCGGGGAGGAATCTCCCTTTCTAGAGTGTTGGGGTGAAAAACAAAAATATAAAAAAATGGGGGCCCACCTTTCAAAACACAAGAGCCAAGTCAGAGGGCCACACAAAGGCAAGGGGAGGAGTGCTTGGGGTCTTTGAAGTCTATCTGAGGAGGGGTCAAGACTCTTTTTACTCCTCTTTAGGCCTTTGTGGCGACCACATGGGAAAGCAAGATGAGGCTGTCACTTGGCACTTTGTGTGTGGTAGATTTGGATGCCCGGACGTGCAATAGGTCAACACCAAGACATATTTTCGAGTTTAAAAGGATTAGTTCATGGGGAAACTGATGTTCTTCACATGTTTTAAGTGCACTGAGGCACAAGGAAAGGGGAACATCTGTGGCTGGGCGGGTCGGTGAAATTGGATTGCAGTGTTTCTTTTTCTGCTCGCTAAGAAGCGCATCATTTTGAATCCCAGAACACATCCTGTTTAGTGACATGCCAATGAAGGTTAGATGTCTGTATTGCTTCACTTACAAACTAAAATGTAAAGGCATTTATGTTTGGAACACATTGTCTCTTTTCATTCTACTTCTGTGCCTCCATTAATAAATCTGTCTTACTCTACATAGGCACAAAAAACTTACCCCGGTCTCAGGGTGTGCAGTCCAGGCTAATTCTGTCGTGGCCCACTTCGTGTCCATGAGCGTCTCTGTGAACGGAAGCAGAAAGGAAACAACCAGGTCAGACAAAGATGAACAGGGTGACTGATCAATAGAACTTTCAATAGTTTTACGACAATGTCATAAAAGTTGTTTTGTAGAGTAAGGCAATTCAACATAAGCTGTTATCAGAAAACTCGCTTAATGACTCAGTGGCAGAAAAGTGCCGGCTGAGAGCGATTGCAAGAGACAATTAGACAAAGAAGAACTGTGTGTCTGCATGTGACAGGCAGAAGAGTCGGTGGGAGAGCCAGGCAGAGACCTAGGTGGGTGATCCGTGAGGTATTGTGTGACATTTTATTGCAGCTCCTTGTCTGGCTAATTAGTTTCAATTAGACGTTTGCTTTTATGCAGGGGAAAGGAAACAACAGTCTCGGTCTCACTGGGGAACGGTTCCGCTTCCAACAGGGCGCTGCGGGACACACACTTGACAACGCGCACACACATGCAGCAAGTAACAGGTTGTAAAACTCAAGAAGATATACAACCCAACAGAAGGCTTGACTGGAGAGGGGGGGGTTATAAAGTAAGTGTCACAAAAGAGCTGCTCTTGAGTGTAACAGAGGTCAATATCATTGAACTGGTTTAAATTTTTGTCAAAACTTGAACACATACACACTACAAAATAACCCTATTTCAGTTTAGTCTTAGCACACACTAAGAACATGCACAGACAAAAAAGGGGGGACAGGGATCTCTCCTGTAGATCCCTTTTCTCCTCCTCACTTTCCACTCTGTTGTTTCCACTGGCAAAGACAGCATCTTTGTGAGAGCAGGGAAGGAAGACTATAAATGTTGAGTCTTTTACTACCTGGCGCTCAAGGCGCAGTACGCAACCACCGTTATTATCTCAACCGCTGTGCTGTTCTACAAGATAGTAAAAGATGATGAAACGGGCACTGCCAGAGAGTGAGCTCGCACTGTCCCTCGTCATGGAGGGAAGAGCGAGATGCTCCTTTTTTTACTTTTTCCTGCTTCAGTTGCAGGAAATGAACTGATAGTCTCTCAGCTCACTAATACTCCACCGCTATCTCTGAGGTTTTCTCTGCCTCTCTCTTCTTCTTTCATCTTTCAAAAAGAAATCTGGGAAAGCTGACAGGAAACGGGACTTGAAAGAAAAATAAAAGAGTAAACCTTAGGATTTCACTCTCCTTTTTTCCCCCCAAATACCTGCTCTCAACAAAGTACGCAGAAGCGACAAAGACCTCCCAAAGACCTCATGTGGGTTATGTCTACCTGTGTAGCCACGGCACAATCCTACAGCTGGAAATTCCCTCTGAATTCCACCCCTCGCGCTTTGAGTGACAATGTCTTTGGCATGCCTATTGAGGCAACATAACTTCTAAGAGAGTTCCTGCCGAAGGGAGACATCTTATAAGAAGAAAAAAAAAAAGCACATACAACCATATTTTGAATGTAGTTTTGGCACTTTGCCCTCAGGCGAAATGGTCCGGAAGCTTCACTGTGAGAGAGTTCATGCAATGAGATCTGTATTTTCTGGGAGTGGCTCTGGAAGCTTGAGTCATGTAATCGCAGCAGCACAGGGTCAAAACCAGCTCTCAACCTTTGTCACAAGCACTTCTTTTCTTTCTAGCCCGTCTGTGGGCATTTTTTGACAGTGGCAAGCTTTGAAAAAAACTTTAGGAGCCTGCTTTTGACAAATATTATTTTTGCAATGAGCCGTATTTGTCACTTGAACAAATAAGGGCCTACTAATGTTTTTTTTTTTTATCTCTGAAGTTATACCGGTGTATATTAGCTGCGGGATTTCCCATGACTCATACAGTGACAGTGCGTGATTTGGGACCTGTTACCTACAGTTAAGCAGGCAGGTAAGCCACGTGGTGGGGAAATGATACACCTCGGCTGCCTGCTGTTTACTGTTATGACTGAGTCGTGCGTACGGCTAGTTTGTCGGCTTGTCATTACGGCTGACCTTGCTGAAAATGACAATACGGTGAAACACAATGACAGACCTGGGGAGTCAAACAGGGGAGGGGGCGGGAAATGAATGGAAGAGAAAGAACGAGAGCTGGGGAGCAGAAAGTCAGAAGTGCAAAAAAAAAAAGCACACAGGCTACAGCTGCTCAGTCTGAATCTGGTTTAAACAGTGGGTCATTCAGGAGCGCATGTGCGACAGTAACCCTTCCCTTCTCGTTTTATCTGCATTGTTTAAGCTCTGCTTGTGTGTGTGTGTGTGTGTGTGTGTGTGTGTGTGTGTGTGTGTGTGTGTGTGTGTGTGTGTGTGTGTGTGTGTGTGTGTGTGTGTGTGTGTGTGTGTATTGTGCAAAGCCTTGTATTGTGCTCAAAGTGGAGCACCAATCCTGAGTCAATGGGCCAAAGCAAAAGCACTGAATGACCCTGACCTAACCTGGCCGCTCCCTCTCTGTCTGTCTGTCTGTCTGTGTGTGTGTGTGTGTGTGTGTGTGTGTGTGCGTGTGCGTGTTCGCGTGCGTGTGTGTGTGTGTATCCACCTTGTTTCTACATATTGCATTTACATCAAGAAATAGTCTCTCACTGCAATATTCATGACTGCACAGTAAATTCAGACACCTGCACAGTCACAATAAACACAACACCTACACAAAGGAAACAAAACAAACTGGATAATATAGAGCTATGTGCCCACACACAAAGACGTCATTTTTCATAAGCCAAGCTGACAAACTCGTGCTATGTTTGTGATAAAGGATGACAAAGAGGCAGAGTAGGACAGATTAAAGAAGGGAAGGTTTTTTTTTTTTTTTTAAAAGCAACAAACACCTAAAGCTTGTAAGACTTGGCTGGCGTTTAGCCTAATGGGAAGGGTTGAGACAGAGAAGAAAACAAAAATAGTCTAAGAAAAACCAGAAGGACAGGTTGTGAGAGAAAAAGCAACGGTGTGACTAGAGGACCCTCCTCCCCTGTACGCAGAGGCGCTCCTGTTTGCTTTTTGGATCTTTACGTTTCACTTTGTTCTTTCAAAGGCTTGAAGTGTCAATGAGAGCTGGAAATATTGGAGGAAAAAAGGCAAACAGAGTAGATTAGGCAAATGAAGATGCAAATGTAGCTGTCTATAAACAGTGACAGGGAAGTTAAAGTAGATACGGGGGATAAGGCTACACAAACGGGACTTTTAATACATATTTCTTATGCACACTTTCACTTCTTTTATGTCCCATCCTTTCTCAACATCCCTACACTTTCATGAGCTACTTTAACTCTCTCTTTTCTTTACTGAGAAGCGAGAGGTTCTTATTCCTCTTTTTTTTTTGCTTTTTCTCTTCCCTGTTTTTCTTGCTGATCTCAATACTATCAGCACTTGTGTTTTCATGCTGTGCAGTGATGGATGTGACGTGCGGTGTAAAGGGGAATGTTTTTCAACCTCCTACGGCTCATGAAGACTGTTCAATTAGCGAGTCACTGTTTGAGTAAGCTGACGATTGCGTTAGGAAAGTGTTATTTATGATACAGGTCAAATGCACCTGGGATTAGTATAACAAACACGGGGGGGGGGGGGGGGATGTCAGTGACATTAGTTTTTCTCTGCCAACTCTGATTGTGTGAGAAAAATTGCAGGAATACAAAGAGACTCGGAGAGATCAGCAGGCAAATACGTGCACAAACACACAAATAAACTCACGCACAAGAAGCCAACCCCTACACTCTAATCCCGTAATGACAGGGCAGGCCTAATAACAGGGGAGGGCACTGAGGCATTCGTCCCTATGGCCGCGTCCAACACACACTCACTTGCACACACACACACACACACACACACACACACACACAGCAGAGTTACAAGCCTCTTAAAACATTTCTTTGTTCAAACAAGCAGACTTCTTAAAAGAAAGGGGGGAAAAAGGACAGAAAGAGGAAAGGGGAAGAAAGGCTATTATTGAGAAAGAGAGGAATGTGTAGTCATTTCACAAAGCGAAGTCTTTTGGGTTGCAAGGAGCAGACAGGTGAGGGATTTAGCTTGGATCTCACCGCGACAGCTTTGAGCTTTTTAGCATGCTCGTCTTTGTTCAGCGTGACCCCGTCAGATGACAACTGAAAAATAACTGAACCCAAGCCTGCAGGGAGCCAAAAGATATGTCTGGACAACCTTGACGACATGATTGTTAAAGAAAAAGAACTACTTGTATTTTGTTGAAATTCCTCTTAGCTTAATTTCCAAAACAAAATGGCTTCTCCTTCTGCTAGCATTAGCTGCTGAATAAATTGAATGTGATGAGAGCAGGATATGTTTTTAAGATGGGAAAAGTTGTGAAAAAGCTCAAACTTCAAAACCCCCTAATGACTTCTTCCCTGAAACACTTCCCTACGGGCTTCTCCGCTAGTTAATTATCATCTCCCCACCTCTTTTCCGAGCTGCTTTTGTTGTGTTCTTCTACAGTCAAACAGACTGAGCACATGGCAACCTGGCATGGGGTAGCCACTCCATTAAAATACTATGCCGCCTGGTTGCCAAACACTTGAGCCTCTGCTTAGCCACAGAAAACAGTGAAATGTGTCAACATTGAGAGTGAGGACCCCACGCTCAACTTATTAGCGCTATTAGCCTGATTGCTTTGTGCGCTAGCTTTGTTGGCTGCACTTTTGTCATCCGGCGTGAAGCAGAGAAGAGAAAGAGGAAGAAGAGAGAGAGCAGGAGGAGAGATGCTATTCAAATTCAAATCATCCGAGCAGCCTTTTTGCCTTTGTGCCGGGCCAGAGTGCCATGATTAGGAGAAGTCCCTTCCATTTTATGGCGAAACCTCCCCCTCAGTACCCCCCCCCCCCCCCCCCCCCCCCCACACACACACACACACACACACACACAGTCACGGTAATTGGTTGCTGCGACATGGACAGGCCAAGGAGGTGATTCCTCTGTGGAATTCCTAAACGGACTGGCCTCCGATGACAAACCCTCCCAAACCAGCACATACACATACACCTACACACACACACACACACACACACACACACACACACACACACACACACACACACATACTTCCCCCTG